TACACCTCGGGCTGCATTGCTAAGTGAGGAGTAGGCGAGAATACAGTGGGAATAGCAGTATGCTGGCTACAGGAGGGCATAACAGTATGCTGGGTATAGGGGGTTTGTTGCAAAATGGGGAACAACTGTATGCTGGGTACCGGGCACATAACTGTATGCTGGGTACAGGGGGTACAACACTATGCTTGGTATAGGAGGGGTATAACAGTATACTGGGTACGGGAGGAATCCGTGTACTGAACACAAAGAGGATTCACAGTTCTTGGAGTGATCCATCCAAATGGTACAAGGCTTTCAATAGTTATAATGTGTCCTGACAATAAAAGTGACTATGGATTTCTGGAACTGGAAATAAACATACCTTAGCTAGCCCAACTCCAGTCTGCATTGTAAAGCTAAAAATGAACAATAAAAAGCCTGAGCTGGTCTCTCTTCTATTAGGCCGGAGTTTGCCTTTAACGTACAGCCTCCCATCCCCCACCTGCCCAGTTGTGTCTCTGCCAGGGCTGTGCAGAGTTTCTGTGGTTCGGGATAAGTTCACATATAAGTGATTTTGTCTCCTCATCCATGAATAATAGATGCCGGCTTCCTCATTAATAATGTTCTCCTTCTTATAGGGGGGTCGATGACAGTACAACATATGCTTCTTCCCAGCCTGGGGGGGGCCGGAACAGCTCCAGCCTCATCGTCTTATTTCTGTGGTCACATATTGATGTTTCCAGCAGTCCTGATCCCTCCTGACTTGTATCACTGATCATCACAGATATATCGGGGGGAGCTGTATAGAAAAAACAAACCAGTGTTTCCCCAATTCCTCCAAATGGCCAATATGGGCCACGCAGGCTACAGGTGTTGTATGTACACTATGCATGTATATCACATGAACATCGACTGTTCATGTATAGACTGACATACAAAGTATCATTGTCATGAAAGACTGGCACACAATGTATCCTTAAATTTATAGACTGGCACACAATGTATCCTTGCCATGATAGATTGGGACGTAATGTATCCTTGTTGTGATAGACTGGCACACAATGCATCCTTGTCATGATAGACTGGCACACAATGTATCCTTGTCATGATAGACTGGCACACAATGTATCCTTGTCATGATAGACTGGCACACAATGTATCCTTGTCATGATAGACTGGCACACAATGCATCCTTGTCATGATAGACTGGCACACAATGTATCTTTTTGTCGGGTCATAATTTGTTTTATGATGATATTTTGTTCTGCCCATTGCTGGCACACCTCGGCGCGATGTAACACACAGATATAAGTCTGTATCCTGGACGTTTCCTCCTCATCATCCCGTCCAGTTCTGTGTATGAAGGGCTCTCGTTGCAGTGCGGTCTCGCTGCGCTTCGAGTTTGGCGTCTGGAATTGTTCTGACCCCTCTCTGCGGTGACCCCTTGCCGCGGATCCTAATGGAAGCGTGATTGTAGAGAAGATTGAAGTCTGAAGAGGGGGCGGAGTTCAAGGGGAACAGATTGTCGCAAGAAGGTGGCGGATAATTGGCGTGCGAGCGAATGTGTTTATACAGCGGCATTTCACAATGTCTGACCCACATCTACTTCACGCAGCTGACCGCCGCTTCATTATCCGGGCTGAGTGTAGGAAATCCGGAGGAAGAAAATAAAAAGAGAAATCCGATTTCAGAGGACGCAGGGTGGAAAGTGGAGTATTCTTATAGGTTGCCAGGGGCAACACAGACAGTTTCCTTTTAGGTTTTAATGAATATTGTCAACCCGCCATTCAGTCCGGTCCCCGTCAGTCTGAAGACAATCTGTAATTAGCTGAATGCTTGTCATACATATGGGGGGAGGATGGGATGAAATTGGAATTGTCCGACATCCCGGTTTGTATACATAGTCGTCTTTTCCTATCATAGCAATGCAGTACTTGGTCCTTTCCTTACCAGCTCCTGTTGTGATTGGTTAATACAAAATAATGCAGCTCTGTATGTATTGCTCTATCAATAAATGCGTTCATTCATACAAGTAGTGTAAGTACCTAAATCAGCTTCCTGTACAGCACAGCTCAGACTAGGGGAGGGTGAAGCAGCAGAAGGAGCCAATCAGTTGTACCTTCTCACCTGTTTTTCTCTTTCCCTTTGCAGGCGTGAGTCTGACGCTATAACACGCTGGATGTATTGACCACTTATCGCCAGACCTGGAGTGGAGTCTGCTTTCCAACATGGTGCCTTACCCTCGCCAGACCCTGCTCGTCGTCCCGGCGCTGCTCCTCTGCTGCTCCATCACCCTGACGCAGGCGGACAGTAAGTTCCCATCTATTCCAGCTTGTACTGTCGGTGTGTCGTTCACAATGCCGCCGTCAGCGGGCTCCTTGTCACATCTGCTGTTCACTTGAGATCCACGGTTGGTCACGGGCCACAGACTTGTCTCTTTGTTGACTGTCAGGTTGTCATGGGGGTTGGAGGAAGTGTTGTGCGCAGGGGCGTCCCGAGACCAGGTGACACCCCCGCCGTGACGTCATCGCGCATGCGCGGTCGTCTTATTGACGCCTGCCGGCGGCCATCTTGGTGATGGACGCCGGCAGAGAGAGGAGGCAACGTTCACCCGGCGGGATGAGGTATGCCGCCGGGTCCCCTCCTCTCTCCTGACACTGTCAGGCTCTCAGTCCATGACTGAGTGCCCGAATTTTCATAGGGGGCGACACCAAAATGACTGTCATTTTGGTGTCACCCCTCCAATGGTGGCACCCGGGTGCGGGCCTGACCCCCCTTGTGACGCCACTGGTTGTGCGTAGGGTTGCAACCTGTCCCGGATTCACCTGGACATTCCGGGTTTTGAGTTCTGCATGTGCTGTTTCCAGGTTACAGACCAGCCGAAACCCAGACACAGAACATACAGGACTCAAACCCGGGACTTTGCAGGTGAATCCGGGACAGGTGGCAACCCTAGTTGTGCGACTTTAATTAAGCGCCATTATATCTGACCAAATCAAGCAAATATAAATGTAAGTATAACATTTCCCCTTTCCTTTGCTGTTCTTTGAGAACTGCACTGAGCTGAGGATTCCTTTAAAATGACCAGTCATCTGTTGCACTTCCCTGGCCTCCGGGTGCGCAGAGTTATATCACAGGATTGCTTGGTGTATGGTTGTGTCAAAAACTCTTTAAAAGTCATTAAATGTTTATTCGGAAAGTTCTTAAAAAAGCAACAAAAAAAGTTTTATACATCTCAGGATATCAATAAAATATATAACTTCTTCTCCTCCTCCTTCTCCTCCTCCTTCTCCTCCTTCTCCTCCTCCTTCTCCTCCTTCTCCTTCTCCTCTTTCTCCTCCTTCTCCTCCTTCTCCTCTTTCTCCTCCTTCTCCTCCTTCTCCTCCTTCTCCTCCTCCTCCTCCTCCTCCTCCTCCTCCTTCTCCTCCTCTCAGTTTGTGCAGTGCTTTACAATATAAGGAAGACGTTACCAACACATTCCAAGACAAGATGGTTAGCAGAGCCCTTCCCGTGAGAGCTTACAATCTAAAAACTATGAAATATCCCTCAACCTGTCATTAGAACGTTCTCAGTCTGCACAAGAATCTCAAATATAAACGGTTACATTCCTTTGATTTGATACAATGTATGCGGTTAGACAGGTTCTCCTGATGGAATATCCAATCAATTATTAAACATTGTTACATTGTTACATTCCTTTGATTTGATACATTGTATCTGGTTCATCGGGTTCTCCTGATGGGAATTCTAATCATCAATCAAGTACTAAACATTGTTACATTCCGATTATTTGATACATTGTATCCGGTCAGTCGGGTTCTGCTGATGGGGAAATCCAATCATCAATCAAGTATTAAACATTGTTACATTCCTTTGATTTGATACATGTCAGCAAGTACACACATAGAATATTAGCTCACCTCTGTATCCTCTGAGGAACAGGACCACTGGTCTAAGAAACGCGTAGAGAATTGGATATCCCATCAAGAGAACCAATCATTCAGACAGGAAATGAAGGCGATAGATGCTGCGGCTTAAAATGTTTTATCGCGGAGATGCACGTTTGCACGGAATTAAAAATATTCACATTCAACCCAGGAGAAGACTTGCTATGGAGGAAAATATAAGGCTGGTGAACTAAAGCCAAAACGTTTCAGGTTGCAACAACAGGAAGTGAGAGGGAATCTCTCCAAAGAGAGGGAAATCCCCGGTGGTCACCAGAACTAGTGTCCCCATTGGAAGATTTTTCCCATCTCTTCCTGTTCTGGTGACAACCCAAAATTTAGGATTTTCTTCCAGTGATAACATTCACCAGAAGAAATAGAAGAGGGTGAATCTCCCTAACAGGGACACAGACGGCAATCAAACCATGACAGGGGTTGTAATCCCATTCCACTCTATCCAAAACTGAAAAAGGTTCAGTTGCACTTTATTGCAACTTACGCGTTTTAACGCTTTATGGTGCCGTTAATTTTTAATTACTCATTTAAATGGCACCCCGAGGCAATGCAGCTCCCACTCACATGCGTTGCAAGCCCTGCCATGCGTTGTTTTGTGATGTATCAGGTAAAATGACGCATGTACTGTATTTGTCATGGTGCATTGGGAGCTCATGGACTGAATGGGGCCCTTAAAGTATTTCTAGTTTCTCAAACACTGAAGGTAGCCATGTTTGTTATAGAGTTGAGTTTATGGAAATGCAGCCATGGGGGGGTTATTCTTCTTTTGGTACACAGGAGACCCTTCGTCTATACAGGGAAGCTGAATGCTTTCTGTGTGTGGGCCAGGAACAAAATGGCTGCCGCTCAGTCAGTTTATTACCAGCAAGGCAGGTGAGCAATGGGATGGGGGGGAGGAGGGGAGTAGAACAATTCGGTATAATAGCCAGCACGGGGGCCCCATTAATTCCCGTCCTATGCAGCAGGCGTCACCTGTCCCGTTTTGCATTCCATTCCGAGCGGAATTGGTGACAGCGAGCCCTTATCTGTGCGCCTCCGCCTGATCTGTTCCACTAAACCCCCTTCTCCTCGCAGCTCCACGCCGAGAGCGGCCTTTGTTCTCCGGAATGAAGCGGCGAGCGCCTTGTAATACCCAGAATAACATCATTATAGAGCATTATCGCGAGGTTTCTCCTTGGCATCCGTCCCTTGTATTGTTTTGTCTTTTCACACAAATTTAAAACTGGATGAACACGTTGTCGCCCCAAGGACTACAAACCCCAGCAATACATTATACAGCAATGCAGAATAGCGCCGGCTACAGAGGACTACAAATCCCAGCAATACATTATACAGCAATGCAGAATGGCACCAGCTATAGAGGACTACAAATCCCAGCAATACATTATACAGCAATGCAGAATGGCACCAGCTATAGAGGACTACAAATCCCAGCAATACATTATACAGCAATGCAGAATGGCACCAGCTATAGAGGACTTCAAATCCCAGCAATACATTGTACAGCGGTGCCGAATTGTAGTATACGTATTGCTACATACTCTGGGGTGCTGGCCTGATGTCTTAGGAGGAGGGTCTGGGGAGGGGGAGACATGCGGAGGGTCTGGGGAGGGGGAGACATGCGGAGGGTCTGGGGAGGGGGAGACATGCAGGACGGTCCAGGTCCCCAGCAGGCGGGGGACCTATGGCAGCCTCTTCAATTTGAATAATTAAAGCGCTGGTATCGTTTTTTAGTATCAGAGAATTTTCACTAGTGGTACTCATGTAAATGCTCAGTATCGGCACCGATGCTGGTATTGGTGCATCCCTAACATATGTGATACAGTCTGCCGATGGCATTAACACGACAGTTTTTGGTTTTCCGAGCCCTGGAAATCTGTTATTCTTCAACTTCTTTTAACGGGCCAAGCTGTCCGGCAAAGGTGTCAATTACAGGGGTTGGGGCAAACCATATAACACTTAAAGGGGTGCTCACAATGGTCAGCTTTTATTCATTTATTTAAAAGCTTTATCCTGAAAAGTAAAAAAAATTATATAGTTCTGTAACTGTTTAAAAAGTGTTGGCAGGAGTAAGGCCAATGCAGTCAGTGAGGTTGTCTCCCTAGGACAGGAAGTGTGTTACCGGCAGGATCACCAGGTGCAAATAAAGGAAGAAAAGCCTAAAACAAAAAACGATTGGATCGACCACATCTGATAAACTGCAATATGTTACATTTTTGTTCTTGGGTATAGAATTCAGGGGTAGCAAACCTCCGGCCCTCCAGCTGTGGTGAAACTACAAATCCCATGATGCATCTCTCTTTGGCAGTCGTGGCTGTGAGAATCTTGCAATGCCTCATGGGATTTGTAGTTCCACCACAGCTGGAGGGCCGGAGGTTTGCTACCCCTGGTTTAGATGCATTTTAAATGTTATTTGCAGTACCACTTGTATCAGTTTCAGTAGGTGACTCCAGGGGGGGATGGAGGGGGGGGATACATGCTCACCTCCTCCCTGAGCAGGGTCTGCCCACCTGTGATGAGCCATAGCAGCTATACTCAGAGGTTTCTCACACCAGCTTTTAGCTTTGTCGCGGCTCGCCTTTAATTCTTTTTTTTCATCCCTCGTCATCCAGTAGATGGAAATAAAGCGGCAAAACATTGCAAAGAACATGTCCCTCTTGGCGGGTGTCGTGTCGGTTTATCAGTCACGGTGACCGCAGTCCCATTAAGCCATCTCTAAGCTGATTCACTCTGATTGTTTTACGCCTCTCCTCCGGGTCACCATAGCTTTGTCTTTTGTGTGCTTCCAGCTCTTCTCTATGAGGGGAGATTGGCTTCTGGGATTTTTCATTTGGAGCGGAGATATTTTATATTTGGCTTTTAGCAGAAACTTTTGTATCATTCTGCTCAGGTCTCCGTGCCCGTGATTCGGGGTACTTGAGGGTCTCTGACATATCATGTGGCGTCTTATGTCCCGCATAGAAAGAGCCTGAGAGTGGTTAAAGGGGCACACCAGCCAAACAGCCAGCAGGGACGAGAGTGTGAACAAGGCCTTAGGGATGACAGGGGCGTTGCTCATGCTGAGTTCTGTCTCTCCTGTAAGCCTTCCTGACTACTTCCCACTCACACCCATCATTTTTCCCGATAAAACCCTCTCCCTGTCAGCCTGATTTTCTTTTTCAGCTGATGTGTGACAAAGAATGTCAGTAATGATACTGGTTTGCTTATCCCTGACTATAAGAAATGAACATGGGAACTAAAGAAAGGCACAGTGCAGTAGCTCATGGTAACCAATCAGAAATACTGTTTCAGCAATCAGAGCTCAGTAAAGTGAAATCTGATTTTTTGTTGGGGGCGGGGGGGCACCATCCG